GAAGTAATCATACCCGACCTGGCAGAAGCCTAGGAGTGAGTGCGCGAGGTGGTTATAAAAGGCTCTCTACCCCGCAAGAATAGGGTATGCAAATTTTGCGCTATCTAGTTTTATCTCGCCTTTGAAGGATTCTAACTTGAGCTTCGGAGCCTTTACACCGGGTTCCCCCCGGAGCTTCCTCATCTTCTCCGTTTCAGGTTTCCTACTGCTGAGTTCAGAGATAAGGTCGTTAACAGCTAAGACCGACCGAATTATGCACCATCATTATCGATGTAAAATTTTTGCTAATTTTCGATGTATTCTATGACAAGAATGGACTTTTACACTGATTTATGAGGTATATTAACGCCTCTATCAAAAATGCCTACAAAATCGAACTGGGGTATAAAATTTACCCCGATTCTCATTTACACTAGCTTTAGTGAATAAGTCTGAAAAAGACCTTCCCTAATGCAACTTTCAGCCTCGAATATCAAGGCATGTGACCAAAATAATTCTTTAGTGCATATTTTAGTTGAGATGAAATGTTGGGATTTTGCAGAGTAGTGATCCAATGCCGATTACTCACTCTTTGAGTAAATAACAAGCCATGTGGCAAAATTATATATTCACGCAGTCAATCATGTCATGTCATTGAAGAGGTGAGAAAGGATGGCAAATTTGGTTTAATATATTTCCTATAAAATTTTCTTAGAAAACAAACACAAAAAAATAAATTTTGGTCATATTGTTTCTCGGATAACAAACACTGAAAAAAAATATATTTCTTTCTCATTTCATCGTTTCTCGACAATCAAACGGACCATTGTTTGTTTCCATGAAAAATAAGAGAAAATAAATCAGTAGATTCTAAGAAAAAGAAATCAACCCATATTATTATTTTAGTATTAAGGAATATACAGAAAAGAATGCTCTCAAGTGGCTCTTTTAGTTGAAAATTTAATACTATTCTCAGATTTCGTTAATTTAACATCCTTCAATGTGGCAAATCAGTATAACAGCAGCAAAGATTCCACATCACACATAAAGGCATGCTGCCAAGGTCAAATCAAGATATGGAAAATGAAAAACCACTTTGAGTAAATGTCGTTGATATGGAGCTGAAACATGCTGTGAGATTAGTGTGGAGCAGATCCAAACATGCAAAAAGAATAACCACGCTAGAAAAAATGTTTGAACTTTCGACATTGTGATTAACAGCCATACGCTCTAATCAATTGAGCTACTTCAACAAATTTAATTATTATTTTTTAATAAATTAATTGTTGTATATATCCCAGAACAAAGCAAATAAAAAGAGATATTAAGTAAGGGTGTCCATAAAAAACCGAAAAATTAAATCGAGTTGAAAAAATTGAATCGCAAAATATGGTTAACCAAACTGATCGGTTTGGTTCTAGTTCGGGATTTTTGAAAAACCGAAATCCCGGTTTGATTCTTGTTTAACCTACAAAAAAAACCAACGGTTAACTGAACCAACTGGCATATATATTTTTAATATATGTCTTCAATATTTATATAAATATATACTTATATTATATTTATAATGATCTATTTATAAATATATTATATATAATATATTTTTCAAATAATTATAATATATTATATATCATTTATTATTTATTTTATAATATTGTACACATATTTATATAATATATATTATAAATATAAAAAAAACAAATGGACCGATTAACCGATGATACCGGTTCAATTTCAGTTTGGAAAATTAGAAAAAAGCGATACCACCAGTTCGGTTTATAAAAAATGCCATGGTTCGGTCCGAACCGTGGACACCCCTAATATTAAGTATATATAATAGAAAAAGCCCAAAAATAGATAATGAATTGTATTTTGGAAAAAAAAAATTTCACAAGGATGTTTGACATTTCCTACTAGTAGTGGTAGCCTGGTAGGAAGGGCAAAACCCAGAATCGTGCATCGCATGATGTGACATAGTGATTCGTGAAAGGACCCCACACGGCATTAGTTGTTGTTGGGGGATCTTATCTCTTTGTGATTCGTCACAATTGTCAATTGCCAAGCCAATCATGCTCTCAATGCTCATGTCTATCACCTACCCTCCTCAGTGCCAGTGAGTGGGTCCAATTCCATCCAATCCAAGCCAGAGCAGCCAGGTCTAGCACACAGAATGGGACCAACCAATCACCGTCAACGCTAACCTACTTTTTTTATCCTTACCGAGAAAGAAAGAAATTTAAACAAGAGCACCCAAGTATTGTTGTTTCTTCAATTCTTGTCCTAGATTTGCCAGATGATGATGATTTGATTTTTACGAAGAAAACACTTTCAGGACGTTATAAACTTACAGAAAGGGGGAGGGGAAATAAAAGGAAGAGCAAATTACCAAAAGCAAGATAATTGGAAATGAATACAGTCTATGATGATCAGATGAATTCGCTTTCGCTCAAATTCAACAATTCTCAGTTACATGTGATGTAACACAAAAGCACCTTATGGACTCTATTGTGTTGCTTACATTCTCATTCTTCGACAACCTTGGTCTTACAAGCAAAAGACCTCTCTCCGCTCTTCAACTTTCTCTTATAGGCAAGCTCTAACTTAAAAATGATATTCCTCAACTTCTCAACAGAAAAATAAATAAATAAATAATAAACAAAGAGAGGAGAAACTTAACTTCTTTCACCTAAACCAACTTGCTTTGAAATTGAAAAGCAAGTAAACCTATCTCTCTATCTATACCAAGAGCAAGGACTCAATTTGCTCCCCTGCCCAAATTCTGTTCAACTTCGCCCTTCGGGTCTTCTTCTGCTCATTCTTGCCCCCTTTCCTACTTACATCATCATATAATGAATATTAATAATATGAATAAAAAAAATGGCAATATGAACTTGTTAGGTTAAACGACGAGCCACACAGAGAGGTGGTGGGCGTCAACTTGCTTTAAGCCACCATCTGCTCCTGCTCCATGTACACCAGCTCTACCCATGGCGAGAGCATCTCCGAACCTCCACTGCTGAGCTGATACTGCTGTGGTTGCGGTTCCTGACCAAGTTGTCCATTTCCCATCGTTGGAACATCCTTCACTAGAGACTGCACCCACGACACATCTGGCTCATCAACTGTTGGCGTCACTGAGGCTGCTGCTAAATTTCTATTGCTGTTTCTGAACCCAAATGAAGCCGACTTCCTCAATTTGTTAAGTTCTTCTCCTTGAATGCCCCAGTCCAATTTTCCATCAGGAGAGCCCCAATCACAAAGTGTAGAAGACATCGCAGTGGCAGTAGCCGCAGCAGCAGTACAAGTAAATCCAGTCTGGCGGTTAACTGGACTGCGGTCTATGAAGCTCTGACTCCTCTTTGCACAGGCAGCTGACCTCGCATTCATTACTGCTGCAGCCGCTGCCCCGGAGGGATCAAGGGCAAACGATGCTGATGATCTCGCTGGGGAGGAGGGCAGGCCTGTGGGATAGCTTGAACGCAGCTGCTGCTGGTTCATGGTCTGGCGTGTATGGATACCTTTCGGAGATTGCAACTGAGAGGCTGCAGCATTCAGCGAGAGTCCTTGCAATTGAGACAACACCGACGTGTCAAGAGAACCAAAAACATCATCCAGATTCGTAGGCTTTACCCCACCTAACCGGCTGTATTCCCCAGCCCGTCCACCAGATGAGGCAGCCAGGGCTGCAGCTGTGGCCAAAGACCAGCCCGATTGGGTAGAGAGACTAGACATCTCATCTATCAGCTGCTGCCGCTGATTATGACGATCCAGCGCAAGTAATTCCATGTCTAAATCCATATCCCTGGCACTCAGTGCGGCCTTCAACCGGCTACCTGGAAGCTGCAAAGTCGGAGGGGCAAGACTAGACTGGTTCTGCCACATCGCTGCCCCCATAGGAGAAGAAGAGCTCACTGAGGGTGACATGGGTGGTGTGGACGTAGGAAGCATAAGTACAGACGGGGAACCAAGAGCCATTGGACTCAACGGCGCCACGTCAAGTGAAGAAACGCTTAGAGAAGACGATCTCGGTGATGGAACGGCTGAGCCAGTCGAGGCGTACAAGGGGCGTAACTCTTCCGGCTTGTGCGCAAAGAAGCACACCCTTCGCGTGCATCCAGTCTCATCCTTGCAGAGCCGTGTTCGATACTGTGCCGGGTGGAGCCAGCACTCGAACACACCATGCGCATACTCACAGGAATCTCCCTGCCGGCAATTTCCTTTCCGGAACTCCGGGCAGGGAACACAGCTGTAGTGATACTTCCTCGGATCACGGCGCCTAGCGTTCTCCCCTGGGTGAACAAACGGGCATTCCGTCCAGTCATGGGAGTAAGCCCTGGAACAGGGCTTCACCTTGAACGTGTACATCCTGAATTCATCTGTCCCATATATCCCGTTCTTTATGTCTGGGAGGGAAAGATCAACTGGGTATTCTTTTTTCTCACAGAGATCTTTAGAGGCCCGTGGCGTTAGCAACTGGTCTGGCTGTTCTTCCGTCAGATCAGAATTCCATCCCTCCCCAGTAAAACTGCCGCCCTTCAATACCTTCTCCAGTGTTTTCTTCCTTGAATTGCACCATTTCAACGCTGGAGGGATCAGGTCCACCGGTCGGTTCCCGTTAGCATCTAGGGAGTCAATATCCGCGGAAGCATCAAGCAAAAGCTTGGCGATGTCGAGAGAAGCAGAGGACCCGCCAACGGCAGCACAGTGGAGGGCAGTTGCTCCGTCCGAGCCACATGCCCTATTAACATCAACCTTCCCGGTCGAGAGGATGTATGCAACAACCTCCTTGCTCCCAAACATCGATGCGACCAAGAGGGGCGTTCTCTCCACAAAACCCATCTTCTTTGACCCAATCCCTCTCCCATACCAGGAGCTGGCCTCATCAATATCAAAACCCTCCTCTTCAATTGCACGCCTGAAGCCGATCAGATCATCGGAGGCCGATAATTCAAGCAGAACAGAAAAGTTGCGGTTTAAACTCTCTTTTTGCTTCTGGGATTCACCCTCCATGACCAAATCTACAGCAGATGTTTTCCTCTTCGGCTCACTGCACATGGAATAGACGAATAGTCTTTCCTTCCTGTCGATTCAAGCACTCTCGTTCTGCAATAACAAGGAACCAAATTCACGTCTGCCGTCGATATATACAAAGTAAGAACAGAGAACATTTATACCCAAGAAAAAAAAATCAACAATATGCAGAGATTACACGAAAACGGTAACTTTTAGGAGGAGAATACAGAGAAAAGAAAAGCTTTTATTAGGGTTAGAGGGATAAAGATTCCTTTACAGAAAAGAAAAAGAAAACCACTTAGCGGTTCAAGAAATACCAATTACATCTCGTAACAAACATCTAAACTCACATTCAATTCAAGCGCAGTTTCAGAAACAATAAATTTAGGATCTTTATTCTTAAAATAACGATAAATGGAGAAATAAACGAAAAGATGAACTTACCTTTGAGAGATTTGAGATAAATGGTTAAGAGTGCATCAGATGAAAGCGAAGAGAACTCGATCGAGTTATCAAAAAGTCTTGTTTTGAGCTCCTTTTTAACTACAACCTACAACAAGAAGCAAGCAAACGATGGAGAGAGAGAGAGAGAGAGAGACGAAAAAGAGAGGAAACTGGAAAGCGAGTCTCCTCTTCTCCTCTGGTTCGCCACGGTCAAAAAGGCGAGAGAAGCAACGAAGCGACCTGTCTTCTGCTCCTAAATGAAACTCAAATTCAAACCAAATACAACTTAAATTCGGCCGACCCCACCACCTTCTAATATCGAACCGCCTTAATACGTTGTACGACACGTGTCAGTGGGTTTCTGAAACGCATTGACGGCTGTGACCGGGAAAAGATTCCTCTATACATCATGCCATACGCGTTTTTTTCCATGGATGGATCATCGTCAGCATCCACTAAGCGGATATCATCTCGCCGATATATCGCGATTCGTTTCGTTGTTAAAGATTCTCGAAAATATCTCCGCATCGGTCACGGTCTATCGGACTCGACCGTCCTCCTCACGGTGAGACGGTGAGTAAGAATTTTTGAATTTTTTTGGTCAAAACGAACGACGCTATGTCGCTAGACTCGCTACGTTTGAATTTTTAATTAAAGTGGCATGATTAAAATTTAAAAAAAAAAATCAACAGTATAGAAAGCTCCACGTGGCTATATGCAGCTGAACTAAGGATCCCGATAGACCCTAGATTAGATCTTAACGGCCATCAGGCCATGTATGCAATGCAAACCATTTCAAAATTAAAACCCGAGTTAATCCAAATCCAACAGAATGAGAGTCATCCTCTGATTGGAATCAATTTACAGAAGTTCAAATCGATGGTTTTTTTACTATTATGATGCATCATCAACAGCGTCGAAAAAATAAGGGATACCAAGATGGTTACTTGTGGGGCCAACATAGGACATGAAAGTCAAAAAGTGATTGGTTGAACGGGAAGTATTGGGGTTTGGATATGATCCTGATGGGAAAATCTATGATGTGAAAAGATATGGTACCAAAGAGTTTGACCAATCAAACTCACCCATCAATTTTGATAAATAAATTTCTGATTGGCTGTTAAACTCACCCATCAATTTTGATAAATAAATTTCTTATTGGCTGTTACATTTATGATTTTAGTTGATTAGTCAGAAATTTTTTCATATCTTTTTCATATCAGTCAAACTCAATCCTGACTTTTGGTTTTATTTTTTTTTCCACAAAGTGGTTGTTTGGTCTCTCTCAGCCTTGAACAAGTCCTTGATACATACTTAATACGTACATAAAATTTATGGAAGTTATTTAAATTCTATTTATTCAGTATACATACATATATATATATAAGCGGTAACTCGTGCGATGCATATAATTTGTCAAGGAAAGTGAAATAACAAGATGCATTGAGCTTTTGACATAGGATCTGGGCAGTCCGAAGATAGTTTGGCAGATGCATGTCTTTCCGTGCGTCTGCCCGCATCTTTATGCACGAGATTAAAACATGAAAGTTGTGGAAGCTTTCCAAAATGGGCTTCTCGCGTCTTTTCGGTACACCTTTTGGCGGCTAGATTTTTCACGAGCCAAATAGGATAGACCGAAAATCGGTCTTCCTGACTTGCAAAAAGTCGAAAGACCATGCAGAAAGACACGCCAAACGGGCCCTAAGTCTTTATTTTAATAAATTATTACAAAAATGTTTTAGTGATTTAGTTAATTTGGATTAATTATATTAATATTTTTAGCAAGAAATAATAATCATTGCTAATTACCTAATAAAATTATTATTTTTCCACATTATTTGTTAGTGTTCTATTTTATTTATTTTACTTTTATTAATGATTWAATGTTTCAATTTTTTGACAATATCAATTAAATATTTAAAATAATTAAATATCAATAAATATACAAAATTAGGTTATAGTCATAATTAAATTAATCTATAGTTAACTTTATTTAGTCATTAACTAAATTAGTTTAAGCCCAAACTTAGGCTTTAAGGATTTGAATTAGGCTTGGATTAATCCTCATCCTAACCCAACCGACCCAAGTTGCATGCATCGTAACATTCGTAATTGGACTGGACCAAAGTCACCAAACCAAGTGCAACCCATGCATGCATTATTTTTAGGATTTTTTTAACTACTTTTACGTAATATTAAAGCCAAAGGAACTATGACGGATGGGCCATCCACATTGTGTAGCCCGATGAACCAAAAAATTAAAATTTTTGGGCTTAATTTTGATAATGTTTTAGCAGTTTTAAGATTGCTTGGCCTAGCCTAGCCCACACTTTAAGTATATTAGTATTTGTATAGGCTTATACAGGATTACCCGTCTTAATTACAAAATATGATTTTTTACAAATTAAAATTTTAATTTAACTATAGTCTATTATAAAAAATATATAACATTTCTATATATATTAATATAAAATTTGTTATCTAAACATTAAACAATAATATTTACCATATATGCATATAACTTCAAAGTTGAACTTATTAGGAGTTGTTTAGCTTGAGCCCTATCCACTMAAGCTATCGTTCGACTCCAAAAGTTTGATGCCCAATTAGACTTTCAAATATGATTATCCCCGATAATGTGTGGGCTTAGATCATATCTTAGATAGACCTGAATCAAAATAAAATAGTTACTTGAGCTTAGAAATTTATAGATCTAATTGCATTATGTTAAGTTATAAACGATTTGTTACTTTTTTATTATTAATTTTAAGTATCCTATCAATACTAATTTCTAACAGTTGCTAGATAAAACATAGGGGTGAGCATTCGGTTTATTCGGTTAAAAATTAAACCAAATAAACCAAAATTTTAAAATTTGAACTAAAAAAATAAAAACCGAAAACTGAAATCAAAATGTTTGGTTCAGTTTTTTGTTATTTCAGTTAAAACAAAATATTTAATAATATATATTCTATTATAAATATTATAACATATAATATATATTCTATCTTACATATTATATATCATATATTACATATAATAATAGAATGTTCGGCTATTTTGGTTAACCAAATTTCTAATTATAAAAACTAAAACCAAAAATTCATTTATCCAAAAATCAAAAAACCAAACTGAAAAAGAAAAACAGAAACCAGAATTTTTTGTTTGGTTTTCGGTTTTAACAAAATGGTGCTCACCCCTAATAAAATCTATTAAAATTTAATTATCCTATCAATAATTTATACATAGGTTTGGTGTAGATCTAAGCTAGACTTAGCTTAGAAGAAAATATTTGCTTGATCTGAAGGTTGAGCTATGTTATAAATGATCATCCCTAAGTAGAAGGAATCTTATGACATTATGTAAATAGTTTAATTTTTATTTTCCATAATCTTTTACTTTTTTATACTTATTTAAATTATCCAATTAAATTATATTTCAGTCTTTTAATTTATGAACTACTAATTATTTTTTATTAATTTCGTAACATTTAACGATTGCTAGTTAAAAACATTATAAATTTTAATATTTTTATCAACCTTAGTAATTTTATTAATTATACTAATTAAGTTTCAAATTATATATAGATTGCATGTTATCGGTTTCTAGGAACCGTTTTAATATTGTGTTGATTAATGAATAAAATATTTTAATAAATTAAGTTAATTATTTAAAAATACTATAATTATTATTAATACTATAAAAACTACTATTATGAATAAATAATGTATTTATTAAAATATTGTAAGTACTAAAATAATATAATTATTAAAATACTTTATTTATATGGCAAATTAATTAAATAGTATTAATTAATAAATATTGTAATTAACTAAATACTTTTAATTATTAAAAGTTATATTTGTTAAAATATTTTTAATTATTAAAAGTATTGTAATTGTTAATTTACTATTAATTAATAAATACTTTTGATTACTTAATAAATGCATTATTTATTAATGTAATTATTAATATTTTTTAATAAAAATTCAATTTATTAAAAAACTATTAATTATTAAAAATATTATATTTATTAAAATACTCTTAATTATTAAAAATACTATAATTATTAAAATACTGTAATTATTAGATTACTGTATTTATTTTAAATATAGTAATTTTCTTGAAATTATCATATTTTTAGAAATATTGGTAATTTATTGGATAAAACAAATTAAATGTAATTTTCTGGTATTTAAATGTAATTTTCTTTTATTTGTAGCTTAAATTATAATTTCTGTTTATTATAGTTTAAAAATAAATATTGTTAATTTTCAATATTTTCAATAATTTTTGGCTTGGGTTTTTTTTAATAATTTTTTGGTATATTTTTAATAATAAAATACTATTAAAAATGCATTAATACGAAGTTATCTAATAATATTTTTAAAACTATCAATTAATATTTTTATATTTAAATTTCTTATTTTTATTAGTGTTTATTAAGCTTGATTTCTAAGTGGAATTGAAACACATTTTTAATATTTACGAAGTTTTGTTAATATTTATTTTAAGTGAAAATTTAGTGGGTTTTTAAATTAATAATTTTTTGATTATTTTACCTCAACCTATTTATATTATTACTACTCTCTCTCTCTCTCTCTTAAATGTAATAATAACATGCATTAAAATAAGAGGCCTTGGAAAACCCAAATCTCTCTCTCTCTCTCATTGTAATAGCGTATAGCTCTATTGATCCAATCAAAATGGACAATGATTACTTTTTTATTTTAAAACAATAAATAGAAAAAAATAAAAACTGGAGAAAATAGATAAATAGTTTTTCTTAATAGAGAGGCATGCTGACATGGCACGTCCAATTAAACAGATAAGGAAATAATATAAACTTCACTATTTCTAACAACAATAAAGGAAGAGGGATTTGTTTTTCTAATGTTTAGCCAATTGGCACCACTTTCTACTAAATTTGCCTGTAATTCCAACTTATCTCATAAATTATCTCTAACTCTTATTTATCTCTTAAATTATCTCTAATTTAGTAGAAAGATTCCCTCCTAAACTATCTCTAATTACTATTTACCCTCTCCCCATTTTTTATCTACATCTATGATCTATCTAAAGAAAGTTTCAATTAAAAATTTTCATAACTATTTAAATATTATAACGGAATTATATACTTACTTTAAAATATTTATTCAAAACACAAAAATTAATTATAATAGATTTAATAATATTCATATTATTCATAAATCTACTTTTTTACAAAATTCA